AAATGAGTGTAAAAGAATTTGAGATTTTTGCTTATCACTCGCACATTTATTTATTTAGTTTTTGTACAAATTCTAGCACCAAATGTCACAATTCAATGCAAACAAATAAATATGAGAGCCGATTTTTGAATTTTTTTTACTATTTCGTTAATTTAACATTTATATTTTGTAAAGTAATGCACTAGAAAAAAGTTACAATTTCATGTAGAGTAAATAATAATAATAGAAATGAACAATTCAAAAATTTAATAGCACTTATTTGTAATAATACATAAAATTTCATGGATGCGCTTTTGTGCCATAAGCAGAACTTGTTTGGATGATGTCTAATTAACAGTCATAAAGCTGAAGGTTTAAATGCGCAAAGTTGGAATTTATATATTTTCAATCAAATTTTGTTACATCGTTTTGTTTTCGTTTGTAATGTAATAAAAGAAATACGTATAGATTCTTGCACGTAGTTTATATTAGATGGTTATTATCAGCGTTAGCTGAACTATCATGTAAGTCAGCGCACAATCTTCACTTCAGCAACATCATTTATTGCTTCTCCAAGTACTGATCGAATAAGTAGATGCCCAATGAGGGATCGGGTTGGTTCATGATCTTCGACAAATCGTTGACGAAGCCTGAAACCTGGCGTACTGAATCAGCCTGCTTGTGCAAGAATTTCTCCTCAATGTAGTGAGCGGTCTGTGGGTCATGTGGGCGTCCATGTGTCGACTGATAGTGTACGTGGCCAGCATCGGCGGTCAAAGTCTTCTCAATGTCCAAAGCAATGCCCAATGAGTGTAATTCATCCTCCTCCAATTTCAATTTACTTTGAGCAATAGAGTTGGGATGCTGACTGATGGCACGGAAGTCAACCTGGCCGCCGCGACGTGTCACATGTTTAATCAAATCAATAGCATCATCGAAAGAGCGGTCCGACAGCGAACGGTAGAGCTTGTTGAAACCGGGACGATTCTTTTGGTATGAGTTGTAGAAGGATGACAACAATAGATATTGGTAGGACTTGTGCAGATTCAAGTTGATGTAGGATTGAATGCCAGATTCGACATTTTCAATGCCACCAAAACGGGAATGGCACATCACTGGGCCTATAAGTGTAAAGAAAGGAGGAGGAAGAAAACAATACGGAAGTGATTTAGTAATGATATTTTACCGAGCGCTTTCTCGTGTGTGAGCACGAAATATGCATTTGTTGTTTTCTTGTTGTTGTTGTTGTTTGTGCTTTACTTACTTGAGACACTGTTACTGCAGCCGTAAGTCACATTGGAGTGACAGGCGTAGTTGTCAGCGCTGGCCAGGGCGATAATGCCCGCAAACAGAGTAAGCGCAGTAAAATTCATAATTTTGGCTTTTATTTTCTGAGTATTTCACTCTGCAAAGAAACGTAAAAATGTATACCAATTAATTGTTGTTATAAATTATTATTATTTTTTTTTTGTAAAATGTGACATTATAAGAAAAACATATAGTTTTGTTTGCATCCACTTATTGCGTTTCAAGTATTTTATTCGGTATTTTGCTTTGTTTTCTACCTTTTCGCTTGACACACGAAAATTCAATTCGTTTGTTTCTCTGGAGCAACAACCGACGTGTTTGAGTTTTATATTCGAAATAATGCTTCTTTTAAAGTGTATGGCAAATTTAAAGGGGGTTTCACCTCAGCCTCAACTAACTTCTGATAAACTCCCTACTACTTACCTAATATTTCACAAAGGGCTTATTGATTATATCAAATGTCTCAATTAAGATTTAGAGCAGTATTTCGTTTTTTACTTATTTTAATAACACGCTCTCTTTGTTTTTATATTTTTAAGCACAGATGTGTTTCAATGAAATGAAATTTTCCAACTGTCGCTTATAATGCCTGTGTCTTGCCGTTTCTATTCGATCGATACTGCCTTTGCACACACTCACACATATATACGCATATATGTGGTCATATAGCTCGTTCGTTGTTTTTGCACTCGTCGCTGTGACTCTCTACTGAGTAGATAACACGTTGCAGCAATATGGCGGCCACTTTAGTGTGCTCTTAGTAGAGCTGTTTTCCTCGTGAATACACACACATATATAAAACGTTGTGTACAGAGATTTCGAGAGATTTTAGGGTTGTCGTTAGTCATCAAGTCTTTGACTTGTTCATATCGGCCGTGCTATATTTGATTGATTTATCTTCGACAACTTAATGCATTTAATGTAGGCTAGTCTGCAAATTAAATAACCCTTGTTACTAGAACTCATTTCTGCGTATAACACGACTCAATTTCTGTGTGCAAAATCATAAAATTGTGCACGTCATCTTAAAAGTACTTTCTACATTAAGTAATATGGTACTAAGCAGTTTAGTTTACCAGAATTCAAACAATCGTACTAAATTGTATTAGACGTTTAATCTATAGATTTGTATTACTCATATTGCCTCCCACCGAACTATATTTAACTCCTGAGCAGTATTATTTCAAGCTTAAGGAGCACACCTAGTTTGGAATTAAAACCAAATTATTTTTTCATATTTCGATAGGATAAAAAACAGCATACCAAAATTTCTAATTGATTTCTTAAATATATTGAGTTAATTAAATTACAGACTTCCGAAGTGTAGGCGCTCAGTTCAATCAGCTTCATCGGTTTATCTTTAAACGCGTTTTTCTCAAAACTACATTACTCGGAGACAAAGGATTCGAACACTATCTTCCTTTTTTGTTCTGTGAACTTTATCCATAAAATGAACTAACAGTTTTTTGATATGATCAAAAATCTAATTTTTCCAGATCAAAATCAACAAAAATGTTGGCTAAATTTTACTTTTTTCTTACGGAACGGATAACATCTTCCAGTTGAGAATTATTTTTAGGCTTCTTCAACGAAAAACGCCGGAATTACTGAAACAGTACCTTTGTTTTAGCGCCGTCGGAGATCACGTGTAACTTAAAATATACATAATTGTTTCTACAAACATTTTTACTAATATGTATTAATATACGCCCAATGAGCCTAATGATGGCCTATGACTGCCGCCTGTTGTCTGGCACTCATGCGCCTCCCTTCTCAACCAACCAATATACGCTTAAAGTTTTCAAGGAATGACTATATTATTATATTTTGTTTATTAGTACTTTCCAAAATTTGCCTTCTTAGGCTGTGTGCCCATTAAAGAGCAAATAATAGAACTGCACTGCGATGGTAAGAAATTACAGGGTCAGTCGTTTAAATAATCAACAGTTTTTTTAATAATGTTTGAGGCACAGCTAGATGTATATCCCCCATATTTTCGAAATTAATAGCATTCATTCCGATTCCTATGAGAGTTTTTCCAACAAGAACTGAATACATATTATATAAGGTCCACAAAAAATCTCTTACTACAATTTAAAATGCAAACTGTATTTACATATGTAAGATCTGATTAAACTGTAATAAGTCCTTTTAAAAATATGAACAAGTATTACATATAATATATAATCTCAAAGTCGCCTGCATGTTTAATGTTTCATTAAGACAATGTCACTTGTTCTTAAATTGATCTATTGTCAGTCAAAGTGATATGTAAGATTGGAGAAGAGTTTATGCAGATTAAAACTTTTCGAAAGATAATAGTTTTGTGCTCATAGCAACAAACGTGTTATTAAAGACAAGTCTACTCTTCCTCTGAATCATTTACATACCTATGTGTATGTGCATATGCACATGGCAACTCTACACGACCTTTGTTTTGATATGCGATTGCAAAAACCATGTGCAACCAAAAACAACAAAGGAAAACAAAAACCAGCTGACTCAGGTCATCGGCAGCCACCATTACGGACGCCATATTGGATTACACAATTTGAATGCTCTCCATATAACGTCTATAGACTACTCACATCTCCCATGAGCATGATTTTACAGAAAAACAAATCATATCTGACGAATTGTGCATACCTATACAACAAGTACCCATACTCATATATAGGCGTGCATTGGAGTCGTGTGTATGGCATATAAAAAGAGTCCAATTTGATAAAAACAATATTACTAAAAGAACCAACCTCAACGTAGAAACAAAAGAATCATACGAGTCCGACATATTGGCAGACATATTAACGATAAAGAAAAATACAAGTGAGTGCCGAAAGACACAACGTTTGTACGTACTCGCTATTGCTAGTGCTGAGAGATTAGTGTGGGCATTTAAAAGTGTTAGGCTCGTCTCGCCAGCAGTCAGTACGTATTCGCATTCAGTAACAACAAAGAGAGTTTTACGATAGCGCTGCATAAAGATTTTCCTTTCAAGTCAAATATTCATAATTCAATCAATTTGTGATTACTAAAGTGTACGACCATTGTGTCTAGAACTCTATTATCAGGCGATTTACTAACGCATTAACTCATCAAAGGCCAACGATTGCCTTCTATACCAGTGTGTATAAAGGCACAGAGGCGGTTGCGAATCAGATCAGATCGAGCAGTCGTTTGAATAAATTGTCAAAATCCAAATTCAATCGAAAACAAAAAAAAAGTTCGTGTTTCCTACACTCCCACCTTTTATCATTCACATAGTGATAGTCGATTATTTGTTTTCCAAATTTGTGCACATAACCAAGCTAGTGTGAAATTTACGGCAAAAACATACATACATATTGAAAAATCATAAACTTTTGAAAGATATTTAACTACCGTGTGTTAATTAAATTTATTCATTTTCTTTTGTGCAGTTAGCGAAGAAACACGCCATAAAAGCAACGAGAAGAGTGCAAGAAATCCTGAATTTCGCCCCAAACAACTCTAAATTACCAAGGAAGACAAAATGATGAAATTATTAGCCGCAGTTTTGTTGCTGGCCGTAGCGGTCAACGCACAGATGACATGTAAGTATTGATCTCAGGACTAACAAAAAGTTTTAAAATATTTAATATGAATTGTGAAAGTGCAAAGTGATTTTGTTTTAAATAAAATGCATAAACATGAAAAGAAGCATGAAGATTTCGTGTTGCTGCGCATTTTCGAGTCATATCCGCTCAGAGTGTAGTAGTGTTACAGTAGCAAGAGAGTGTGTGAATTTCCGCTCAACAAAAATTTGCTGAGAATTTAAACGAGTACATTTCAGCGAGCAAAAGTCATGTCATTCTAAACAAGGGTGGGTTTTTTTGGCTTTATCGCACAAAAAGAAAAAATAAATCGTGAGAACCTCTTTGTTTTGGTAATACGTAGAAATTTATTTAAGACTACCGTGTTGACGAAAGGCAACTGAATTTGTTTACAAACAATGACAATTGTAAACTTTTCGATTTTCGGCGTTTTGCCAAGTGTTTTATGAGAAAAAGCGGTGAAATATGTTTTTTGCCGGCCCATATTGACTCATTGTATTATTCCACATTATTGTACTTTTTTAATGAACTCGACGTTTTTTTATTTTTGCCGAAAATCTAAATTTCCTCCATTCAGCAACCGAGCTTTGTTCAATAGGTAACAGCTGTTTTTGTTTAATTGTTAAATTGTGTTAACGATAAGATTTTAGACTCGGATATATTCATGCATACATATAAATTCGTTTGTTTGCAAGCCCATATGTATGTATGTTTTTATATCTTATATGGCTAAACCGGTTAGCTTTATATAGTAGTTGTTTATACGCATACGTATTTGGCCGTGACTAACCACTAGCAATGGTTAAGATGTTGTCTGATTTCTATACATATACAATATATTCATTATAAGAACCGTTTTTATTACTTTTAGATTTTTATTATTAAGCTAGTGTGTAATTTCACCCATAATTGAAGGCTCTAATGTAAAAATTCTAAAATTTTTAATTGTTAAATTAGTTTATGCATTGGTGGGTTTTAGATTTCGAATTTTGCATTTTACTTTAAAATTTTGTTTCTACTAAAAATCTTAAAGTAATTAATTATCTTAATCTTAATATAAATAAAAATTAATAAATTATTAAAATCTCAGTTTTAAAGAATACCGCTGAAAATGTGTAACTTTTAACTAAAGTAGTGTAAGTTGTTTAGACTAAACGATCTGACAACTTATGGCATATTGCTTCTTTAGTTCTAGTTACATATATTTTTGAATTCGAGTATTTTCTATGTTTTTCCATATCTCTCTAGATTTACAGTTAAGGTGACATAACACAACATATCCAATAAATCGGTCTAATGCTTCTTGAGTTAACAATACCTATTGTAACTACTTTGGATTTTTTTTATTGAAATTTGTTTACTAAATACATGAGTACTTTGGATTAATTTTAGCAAGCAAGCAGCTTACTCTCAACTCTTCCGTTTGAATATTTAATTTCTTATTTTCACTTAATTTTTACTTTCATTTCCTTTATATGCATATTTAGCATAAAATGGTAAACTTCAACAACTGTAAATTATTGCATTTCACCGTTTCTCCACCTTCTACATTCGCACGTTATTTATATATACGTTCGTATATAGGTTTGAGAGTATTGCCTTGTCAAGATCAAAGTACTTGTACTACATTGACTTCACTCAATTAAATTTAATTCCGCTCTTAGTGCACACTCAGCAACAAAAATATTTATGTACTCATAGTTTTACTCGAGAGATTTTTGCACACGGCACTACTGGCTAGTGGCTCTAAACGCTGTACATCCCCTTGCCCTCAACTATGCTTGCCTAAAGCTTATGTTGTTCGGCAAGCTACTGTGGGAACGTGTGAATCAATATGCTACGTGTTGTTGTTACTTCTTTATGATGTCTTTCCTATTTACAATCCTGACTTATTCGTCCGACTAACGTGCTATATATATGTATACATAAATATGCATACCGATATGTATAAATGCAAGCGCATATTTATATAAAATTTAATTATCTGTAATTACACGCTAAATTCATTTGAAATGCCGAAACCAGAAATCATCAACGGCGCTTT